TACACCGATCTACCTCTCAGAATGTGCCCATCCTGGGCACATATAACTAATCTCCCACCTTCATCTCGCCTAGCTGAACGGCGCTCTTACCATCGGAACCATGGACGGAGCCAATATTGAAATGTGCGAGGAATGCGGCAGGGAGAACATGTTCATCTTCGGCATGCCTGTTGAGGAAGTGGAGGCCCTTGGTAGAAAGGGGTAAGCCTGGAAGCTGCAAAGTGCTTCAACAATTTTTTCTCTAGTTATACCAACGTAGACTTGTTTGGAGGGAAATCAGTCTGAATTAAGCCTTATGGGCGTGGTCGTAGCTGTAGCATTCAGCGACTGAATATCTGCTTTGGGCTTTAGGCGAGTACCTGCGCTGGCAGTATAGTCTATCGTGTAATCTCCACACTGATAATTATTTTTGGCCACATATTTAGTACCACAGCTCTCGGATCTGAGCAAAAAGCACTCGAGAACAGTGCAGCACAGATGTCTTCAGGCGTGGCTAGACACTGGTTTGACGAATGCTGTAGTATTAAAAAGGTCCCAACCTGTAAGAGTATTAGTTGAGTATCATGTTTTGCTCACCGCAATGAGTTTATTTGTTCACTGGCGTTTCGGACAGCTGAGCCGGGTGTCCTTTATCAAATCGCAAATTGATTTTATTGATCAGCAATGTGAAGTTTTGGCTGTACTTGTCAGCTGTGGGCTGATCGCTTTTTCTCGGCTTGCTGCTTGTCCCCTCATGTGGATTATGGCCTCGCTTGAAGGCAGTTAGGGTGTCGTTTTGTCTCAACCATAGAAGATGCTGGCAATCCTGCTTTCTTTTCCGATAGTTTCGTTACAAGGCCGTCTTCGCTTACAATTCCTAGGTTCGGTTTGACCTTGTCGTGTCCTTTACTCACGTACTGGCGTTAGACTTTCTAGGCCGCGGGAATGCCCAGACGCCTTTTGACGGAGTTGGCATCTGAGTAGCATGCCTCAGGCGCCAATCTTTCGGCTTTTGAGGTTCCTTGGCCTACGATGGTCGCTTACGGATATCGAAGTTGTGGCCGGTATCCACTGGGTTTTGCAAGCTGCGAGTTTGGGTCTAGTCTCCGAGCCGCCCTTTTGTGTTCATGTAAGCGGGTCTGCAATTTTCGCCCTGTTTCTCCAACGTAATTGCAGTTCCCATCGTTGCAGCGTATCTTGTAGGCAACTGCAGAGGTTTCAGTAGGGGCCGTCTGTCCGGCGGCGTATTATCGCCTGAGGTCGATGGGCGATGCCTAATCCAGTGGACTGTGACAGTCGAGAGACTGCTTCGGACACTCCTTTTATGTAGAGAATGGCCCTACTATACCGAACTAGCCATTAACACCGAATAGTAGACATACTTGCTTGAAGTATAAATTGCCTTGGCGTCTGCCCACCCAATAAAGGCTCAGCGTTTACCGGTCACATATTGCCGCTTATGTCGGGGCATGGAATTGGACACCGCGTACAAATTCAAGAAGAAATTGGTGACACGCTTGTTAATCTAGATGGGATGGGGGTGTACGGTGACTGCTAATCGACAGAAACGCTGGATCAGTAGTAAATTTACCGACAACTGTAACTATCTTTCACATTTACTGCGCCTCCGACGGGACCTGGGGACCCAGGATCGAACATCTACGAAAGAACATATCTGACATCAATTCATGTGTTGCTTCTATGTCTGTTTTTGAATACGTATAGTAGGTAGCGTGATTTTAGTTAGAAAGATTACTTAAGCGGGTCTGTAATATTGACTATCATATGACACAACTTCAATATACTTCATTTGCGCCAAGATGCTGGCTTTTGAATGTGCGTCTGTTCAACCATTTGTAAAGCAATGCGTTCACCAAAATGACTACTTGTGTAGTATGCTTCTCCCTACATCCGATCGCAACTCATGCATATAATTGCTACTCTCGTGACTTTCCCCCGCAGTTACAAGTCACAGGAATTCATTGAAAAGTCGCCCGCTTTGAAGCAGGCACTGAATCAGATCCGCGACGGCTATTTCTCGCCTGATGAACCAGACCTCTTCAAGGACATCTATAACACGATGATGTATGGCGACCGGTTCATGGTTTGCGCGGACTTTGACGACTACGCTCGAGCCCAAGCTGAGGTGGACAAGGCCTACGAAGTAAGCACGCACCTTTCGCCCTCATCACTGATTTTGACCTTTTACCATGACATGGTCAACACTCAGTAGAAGACATTTAGCCGATTTCCTTCATCCAAAACTGTATCATCTAAGGCAGCTCTATGTAAGGGGTTTCCAGGAATACTGTTCAGCATAATATGTGAAAAATTCCATATAACCGTGTTATTTTGTTCTCAATGCCTTTGCTCACGAGTTATGCCAACCGTAAACTGAACCACACAGAGGACACAACATCTCCTTTCGTGACCGGCAAATACCAGAAGCCATGTTTCAGCGGGAGATTTTACTGCCGGGCACCCTCTAGCATGTGCCTGTCACCGCCGTGGGTGGAATTAACTATGTATACAAGAGCGCCGTCGTAAATCTTCTTCGATCTTTTTCCCGCACGAGGAATACATGGGAGAAAGAGGAATGTTTCCTGCGGCCACAGGATCATCCGCTTGCGTAGGGCGTGATGACTGCTTCAAACCTTCCGTCTCTGTAGACAAAACGGCAATAGTTATGTGCCTTAAATGTGTGTTCGACCATCGATTTCGATTAGGTCCATCATCACCTGCACTAGGCTAGCGACACAGGCGCGCTGTTTTTCATCAGTTCAGTTAGCTTTTGCAAGCTGAGAGTTTACAGCCCTGAGCCTAGCTTAAATAGGCCTCTAAATCAGACGCATTGATCCTTTTTTTAACAAATGTTATCACTTTGACTGTGAAAGCGATGGGCTGGTTTGTTCTTCGTCAAAACAAACACGCACTTCAAATAATCATGTACTTTTAGGTATGGACGCGTTCTAGGTGTAGTACTTGAAGAATCACTAGTACTTATTTTTATAACTTTTCTGAAACCAAACATGTTTACAAAGGAAATTTTAGGGACGCTTGTTGCAGTCGAGAAACTGCTTCGGAC